GAAACTCTACTTGCAAGGCTTCTCTATGGCTTACACATACCTACTTAGTCATTATAAGGTAGGTTTAAACCTCTCTCTACACAGAACATCACTCTAGCTAGTGATTAGTTATTTGTTGATCCAATAAACTCCCTTGAAAGTAATAATTAGAACTTATCACAACAAAGAGTAGAGTTTATTAATTACCACACAAATTATCTAGTTCCAGAAGGTTGAATAAAAGATCAGGATAAACAGCAGAGATTACATTGGACTAGTTCTTCTGTACTAACTTTCAAAACTGACAGTCTTACACAATCTAAAATGTTTGTGTTAATAGGTAACAGCTAGTGCATCAGTAGCAGGTCATTTTCTTTAAAACAAATGTGTTTGAGAAGAGTAAGCAGAAAGTGTCAAAGTTAAGGAGGAAGGACTGTAGGTAGATGTGTAGGAAGGTACTGCAAGATGCAAGTTGGATTTTAGTGCAAAAAAACCTCTGAGGGTGCTCATCAGCCTCCTTTCTGTCACGCCAAGAAGGTGACATATTCAACAGCATGGAAGTGCTTTATGGGGTGATAAAGGCAAGAGGAAACATTGATCTGAACTTCTCGCTACTTACTGTGGGAGTCAACATGTCCCCCCAGATGATGATGAACACGAACCCATCTTGCAGAGGTAACCAAGGGCCAGTCACAAGCAGATGCAGCCAAGTTGTTCCCCTACTGCTTCCCAGGTCCTGCAGCAGCCTCAAGGGCCACAAAACACCTGCACCAACATTAATCCTGCTACATCAACAAAATGAACACATTTGTCATTCCTTCCACTTGACCTCATGTAGGTCTTAAGCCTATCCAGAAGCTGAAAAGCATCCCCACTTCTTCCCCAGTGTGCATCTATACATCAGTGTGTACACATCTCAAAATCACACCAAATGATTAAGCTGTGATTATTGCCTGAGTCTGAGGAGGAACTGGCTTGCTCTACATCTTTGCCACAAGCTCCCTAAGTTCTATTGGTCAAATAATTTAAATCCTTTTTCTGACTTTGCACAGTGAAGGTGACAACTACTTTTCAGGGGACTGGAAAGGCTTAACTCTCCATTGGGAATTATGTTCTGCTCCTCAGCTGGAAGATGCTAGAGAGCTGCCAAATACTATTATTAATTTAGAACAGCTAATTTGTTTCAATGAGATTATCATGAAAATGCAGGAGCAAAGCTAGGAAGGTGGCTCCAGCTCTCCCTGGATTCATGGTCCTCCACCCACCCACCAGGGATCAGTCACAAGGTATCAGGTAACTTGCACGAAGTCATCAGGACCAATTCTAATTTGCTAATTACTCCTTTAGGCATGACAGAGATTGATTCACATTAAACTTTCATGGGTATCACTGATCTCATGCACAAGCCTGGATTATCTACCAGGCAGTGCCAGTGGTATTGAGTGAAGGTTGGGTGCTCAGGCAGCCAGGCAGTGCTTGAGAAGGGCTGTTGAGAGTTTTGGTGCCAAAGAAAATCCACACTCTCTTGAAGAAAAATGTCTTACTAATGTGTATTTATTTATCAGTTGTTGGAATACCAATATCCTGTGAGGAGACTAAAGGTCCCAAGTGGCAGGTAAATGAACACCCTCCAGTTGTGCCATTAATTCCTAGGGAACAAGTGGGAGAGTTTTTCAAGCAAACTTGTCAACTGTAACTAACTTGATTTTCTGAGTGAGGACAGATTGCTCATCACTCTGTGCTCCCCTCTCAGCCAAAGTGGACCTTCCTCAGCAGCATCTGCCACTTCCAGAAGTGGAGAGCCCATACCAGAGGTCATTGCCTCATCAGCCAAGGCAGAGAGGTCTCATTAGAACAAGAGACTTCCCACATCAGCCCTGTCCCTGGACACCCACATAAGTTTCTCAGTTCCATGGTGTCACAGTGTCCCAGCCAGACCCAAGAACCAGCACAGGGGAGCCGAGGTCCAACACAGGCAGGGGTCCATGAGACCACTTGCTCCAGCACTGCCACTGTCAGCACAGTCCGGGTGTTTTTCCAGCTGTGCTGGCTGCAGGATCACTGCTCTGACATGCCAAAATTTCCAAGCCCTTTGCCCTCCCTGAGGCATTATCTGCCACTAGAGACAGACGATCTGAATGAATCTAGCTCCAGCCAACTCTCTGAGGTCCAGAACATGTTGTCCATGGAAAAACAACACACACTAGAGAAACAAAAACTGAGAGACTACCTGGCTGCCGTTTATAGACTTCTCAGAAAAAGTCAGCAGTCAAGAGCCAAACTCGAACGTTCACGTCACTCCTTCGCTTATGGAAGGTGAGTTTGCTAAATGCCTGGATGCTTTTCAGCCTAACAGCCCAATTGCTGTATTTGCAACCATAATGTTGGAACAAGTAGCAGGGCTTAAACTGGTGCCCACTGGACTCAATAGGAAAGGCAGATGCCAGAAGCTTTTTTAGATACATAACAGTGATTCTTCATACCTCTCTTTCTGTGGGCTACTGGACTCCACCCTCAGTCACATGCAAAACAATTCATGGATAGATTTTTCCATTAAATACCTCAGACTGCCTATTGAGGTTCCTGGTACCTGGTTCATGGGTAAATAAAATTTCTGCTTTGGGAAGTGCTAAGCATCCCCTGAGTCCAATCCAAGAATCAGCTACAGATTCAGGAGAAAAGCAGAATCATACAAGGAAGGGACCTGAGGGACTGACAGCAAACCCTCCCAAACCATTCTCTTTGTGACTGCCAGCTGTCCAAGGCACAACTCTCTGACTATTATTCACTGAATCCCCTGACGTAAAGCTGCTGTTGCCCCAGAGCAGCACACACGAGCTGCTCTGATGCTGGATGCTGGCTCAGACCTTCCTCCTGCGCAACAAGCAGAGCCCTTCCTGCAAAAAGAGCCCATCACTCTCTTTTTACTGGAAAAGACAGAACAGTGCTTGCTATGCCATAATTTGCTCCCGTTTCTGTTTTCCTTCCTCTGCTCCCTTACAGAAAACCACAGACCACATTCACTCCAATTTTCTCTCCTTTTCAGGATGGTTATGAATCCAACACAAGCAGGGGATGGGTTACCAGGTGTGCACCAGTGTGAGCAACAGGAGAGCTGGCTTTCCCAGGAATAAGTTGCCATTCATGTATTTCACTTCCATTTTACCTAACAACTTGGCATGCTGCACTGAGCAGATATGCAAACACTGTCCTCTTCTCATGATGGCTAGACCCTTGTCAGACCCTGCTCTAAACTATAGAATGTTTGAATAGAGATTTGGGGCTCAGTGAGATGCTGGCCAAGGCATACATGCTCTGTAGGGCAGAATGGCTGAGCTGATGAAAGCTCTCTGCAATGGACGTCTCCAAGAGCTAAGAGATTCCTCTAGTCTTATCTCTTTAGGAGATCAAATACTTACATGGGCTTTGAGTCAGCCTAACCACAAAACCGTCATAAAAGTGATATTCGGGTAGAGAACATGGCAAGAGATGAAGGATGTGCTCCAGCTCCAGCTGGAGGAAGACCTGCACTAAGCTGGCAGAGCAAATCAAAGCTTAGACCTGTGAAACACCTGTGAAACACTGAGCGCTGCAGAGCTACAAACAGTGATATGGATCATTTCACCAGAAGAGTCATTAAGTCCCATCTCTCAAGTTGTATGCAAGCAAACACGAGATGTTAAGGCTAGAAGATTCTTCACAATATCTATTTTTCATGCACCACACACCTTCAAACATCTCCCTCCCTCACCCCTTCCCCCCCTGCCCCCCCAAAAAAGCGAGAACAAAACACAAATGTCCCAGAAGGAATGAGCAAGGAAAGCCAAGGACCTGTTGGGATTTGCAGCCCCTGCCTTAGCTGGGAATTTTTTCCCCCGGATAAGCCATGGCAGTCACTGCCTCTGGCTTGTGAGGAAGCCAGTGGGAGCTTAGCACAACTCATTCTTTAAGAGCAATGTCTCTGCATAACAAGCAAGCAAAGCGCGGCAGTCGCTGAACCGAGTGAATAACGGGTTTCATAGGCGCTGTCAAAAGGGGAGAAGGAAAATCCCAGCTGGCTCCAAACAGCTTTCTATGTGTGTTGGCAGGTCCTTGGTATTTCTCCCAGACTGGGAGGGCAAGTCCAAGCCAAGAGCCCAAGTACAGCACATCCAGACTTACATAACCCAAGGGGCCCAGGGTAATCATTAACACTGGATTATTGCCACTGGCTTTTGTGCTGGAGTCACCTGGTTGTTTGGATTAAATGTATAGTGGCCGTTTAGACAAGGAGAAGGCTCATGGCACAAGCAATTAAGTGAAAACAACCCCCAGGGAGGGTGGGAAGCAGGAGACTGTTGGAAACATTGCAGGGTCTAAACTCAAGCACTCCTCTGGGGAGCCAGATTTGCTACCTTTCATCACAGCACCCCGCTCAGTGGGCTAGTTTGCTTTCCACAGGGGTGCAGCTCCCTGCCCTCCCCCCAAAACTGCCAGGGAAAAAAGCCCCCACGTAACACAAGTCAGGGGAGCAGGACTCTTCTTAGGGAATTGTACCTTGATGACTGCCATGTGCTGCACACCAGCAAGTGAGCTCTCATTCCTCTCTCCTTGGCATGCTTTCCAAAAGCAGACATTATCAGTGTCTGCTGATAATGCTGATAAAGCCTGACTTTATCTCTGCCCCATCTTTGCCTTTCTTTGCTTATCTGATGTCTCACGTGTCCTATTACTCTTTGCCCTCTGTAACCCCTCGTGTGTTATTGACATGTGGTTTGCGCCACTGTCTGGGGCAAAGGAGGTTTGGGACTTCTTGGTTCTGCTCCCATTTCCCCTCTGTGTTGGCCTGTGGTCTTGGACGCATCACTCCACTGCACTGTGTTTAGCCACGGGTCACAGAAGTCAGGTTACCTCACAGAACATCCCTTTACTCATATTTCTGATGCTTAGTCCTTACCTCAAGTACAACCATCCCAACTGACAGCTCCTTACCTCGCATAACTACCACTTCACCACTAGCTCTGATGAAGGGACTATAAGCCTTTTAAAAACAGAGAGTTCTTGCGAGTGTTAGGAACTAGATCACAATCATTTTGCAAAGGCTGTAACACTGCACGTGTCCATTCACACCTCAGAAATGAAACTATAACAGCTTGAAGTCAATGAGACATAGGCTTATGTATAAATATGCCATGCTGTGCTTCGTCATGCAGAGTTGCTGAAGCAGGGACATAATAAACTTTTCTATAGTTGTGGTAGCAAAGCACTTAGATATATATTTATCTTCAGGTGGATAAAGTCAGGCTTAAGGCAAGGCCACATTTTTCTCATGAATCGGCAAAGCCCAGGCAGGCCAGTAATTTCACATAAAACAAACACTGAAATCTCTTCCGGAAATTTCTACTTTTTTTGTGACAAATCTCTAAAAATGTTATTAATTTCATGCAGAATTAAGTCTCCTTTCACAGCAAACACAGCCCTACTCTTTTCAGCAAAACACCGTGACTTATACATAAGCCTACATTTCCTTACAGGTATTAACTAGAAAAATCCACACAATCTACACTCAAAAACCATACTTAGAAAAGAGAAAAAAAAATAAAGAAAGAATAAGGATTTCATGGAAAATATTCCAGGCTAGAACATAACTTAGATCTTAGATTTCTGCCCTGCTGTGCTACAACGGCAGGGATTTTGCATTACTCCACTTCAGCTTTAAGTATTGCCTCTTGCAGAAAAATAACAGCTTCTGCCCCGAGTGTCTTGCAGGGTGAATTGCCCAACTTTACAGCAATATCAGAACTCCAGGTGAGATGGGGAGGAGACTGAGACGCTGGTTAAAATAAAGCAGCTGGTTTACTTTAGGTAGGGTGAGAACAGAAGGGAATCGCAGATCCTCTTGGTGCAGGCTTGCTAATTAAAATGAGTACATGACTAGCCCTTAACACAGCTGTGCTTAGCACTCTGGTCTTCAGGCTACACCTCAGAAGGTAACAACAACCTGGAGTGTACAGAACTTAGTCTACCTCATCCCTCAGTCCTCTTTACCAGACTGATAGGGATTCTCTGGGAAAAATAATCAGGGGTCTGGAGAGCCCTGGCTCATCAGCTGGCACTTTTTGGTGTCTGTTCTTCAGGGAGACACTTAAATCCCTCAATGCCTGTTAGTCTCAGAGTGATTCATGCTGGGAGAAGATCTGGACCCACTGCACCATTGCTCCCATGGAGACTCAGAAGTGACTTTAACACCAGTAATGTGGCTGGTTTCTTCTTCCAGTGGAGGCCAAGCAACCAAAAGCACAGTGCAAGAGATGTCCCAGCTTGCAGATCACCAGAGCATCATGTTCATGCCCCTGTTGTTACAAATGGGAAGCAATGGCTGTTGCAGAACAGGGCGTCTTCTCCTCAGGCCTGAGGCAAGCTTCATACCACAGATCCTTCACATCACTCTTTTAGGTGTGGGTTTACAGAAGAGCCAACTGAAGCGCCTTGGCACCAAGACCTCCGTCATGCCAAGCCTTTCTTTACCAATCTAGTCCTGTGACTACTGGTCTTATTCCTGCTTCTTCCATCCAAGGATCATACAAATGTAAATTAAGTCCCACAGTATCACCGTGATGCATTATTATCCCCATTTTACAAGAAAGGGAACTGCAGCACACGGCAATCGAGTCCTTTGTCTTGGTTCGAGCAGTGAATCACGGTCGCAGTCTGAAGCAGACTTTGAAGCCCTTCCTCCTTCACACTAACCACTGAAGTTTGAATTCCTTCAAAACCTGTTTGCTCTAATCCATTAACCACAGTTTTACTGCATCTGCAGACCTGTTCCACAGCAGTCAGGAGCCAAGGAAGGCATTTGGGTCCCAGCGTGGCTGCCAGGCGAGGCGTGAGGGCTCCGGCGAAGAGAGAGCTGAAACATCTCGCGCCTCCCAAGAACTTTCTGAGATGAGAAAAACTGAAGATAACTTCAGAGCTCTTCCATCATCTCCCTTTTAAAAAGCACCTGAAAAGTTACATCCAGGTGAATCGAAATTTGAAGTGCTATTGTCTTGATTACAGAGCTGGCTACAAAGGAAATTAACGAATAATAATTTCAAGGAGGGATTTAAAATTTCCATTTTCATTTTATTGTCAAAGTAAATATATTTTTATGAAGAACAAAAGAAAATATACAGAATTGTAACTTATGTACACTGGCTTTATAGGTATTTTTGTTTCCAATTTACACAAATTTGATACGTTATTAAAAGATATTTTATATAGATATGCATCTATGTACAGTTTTATTTACATACATTCATAGGATGTGATATAAACCAGTCAACAGATGATAGTTCATTTATATTAATTTCTAGAGGACAAAAGGAATGCATTCACTTCAGCTAGACCTGCTGTTCTCGCACAGCGCAGGCTCCTGCTCTGCCTAGCACTAGGATCGCACTTTCCTATTTCCCATTTTGCCAACAAAAAGGACAAACAGATGCTGTCTGCGAATGGAAAGGAAATGCAACATCCATTATAAAATCATTTCTAATTACTGAATTCTATTTTCTTCTAAAGCTTCTTACAATTGCCAGAGTTGAAAAGAAAAAAAAAACAAAACAAGAAGAAACAAAAACAAAATCATTTGCCTGCTACCATCTGATTATTTGTTTAAATTCCCTTCTTAGCCAGCTATCACACAAATTTGTTTCTTTTGGCTACTGTTCTCACCCATTCGCCCACCCCAGCTGCATGGAGCTCTGACATGGCTGTCAGGAAGGAGAGGATTAGCACTGAAGATCACCCTTAGACCCCGATCTCGCAGTGCTGTCCCACCAGGCCATGATGCCTCCCATCCTCCCTGGGCACGGGCACATCCTACAGACCCTGCCTGCCAGCAGGCAAATGGAGACTTAGCTCCAGCCAGCGAGGCCTTGATTCATGGTGGTTGCGGGGATGCCTGGTGCCCATCAGGACCACCAGGCACCTCCGAGGCTGGGGCCCTGGTTTCTCCCCCACGATCACACAAGAGGATGGGAGCAGAGATAGGACCAGGGCTCAGACGCTCTCAGAAATGTCTTCCTGCTGCCTTACATGCAGACAACAGCTCTTCTGCTAAAGACAATGGATGCTGCAAACCAGACTCAAAGGAAAGCAGTGTGTCCTTCCACACCTGGGCATCCTTTCACCCCATGGCAGCACAGGACAGAAGCAAGCACAAAGTACTGAAAGGCTCCACTCCAAGCCATTTCATCCAGCCTGAGCCTCCCAGTTTGCCTGGGATGTGCCTTTGCTTAAATATATATATATATGTATGTATGAATATATATACATAAATATTTATATATAGCCCTAGCCAAGGGAAAGGTAAATGTGAGCTGGGGAAATTAGAGCTGCATAGAGATGTGTATGAAGGCACATTCCAGTGCTCTCAAGCCTTCTCTCCCCCTATCCCCAACTCCCACTATTCCTCCTCCTATGGCCAGCCCCTACAAATCCTTGGCTCAGGCGACCCAAAAACAAAGGAGTTGTTTTCATTTCAAAAGGAATTTGCTGTTTCCAAACTGGACAAATAGAGCAGCTTAATAAAAACTCACAATGAATGGCCTGTACATGAGCAAAGCCCTCAGGAATGCCAGGGCTATAATTAACTAGCAGCAAGCAACTTTTACATTTTCCTGTGCAGCAGAAAACAGCTAAAAATAAAACACTGTAATTTCCAAAAGAAGCAGCAGCAAAGGAGGGACAGATAGAAGGAAAGAAAAATAATATCCTTAAAAGAAAAAAAAAAAAAGGAAGAAGCACCCCACTCCCCTGACCCAAAAGGAACTTCATTCTCAAATCATCTTTGAAGGAACATGGGGCACTCAAACATGGTGGTATAAAGTAACAGCATTGACTGTTCTGTGGAGACAAATAAATTATCACTAGAAATACAGTGAGCAAAGTGCTGTCATCGGCTGTTGTGAGATGGCTGGGTGGGAAGGGGAAAGCGGGAACAATCAGTTCACGGAACGGACGGAGCGGTTGCTTCGTGGGAATCGATGCACCTTGACATGTTTGGACAAGTGGTCACTTCTAGCAAACTTCTTCTCACAGACGGGACACTGATAGGGTTTCACCCCTGAGTGGGAACGCCTGTGCCGGGACAGCTCATCTGACCTGGAGAACCTGCAAGAGAAGAGAAGCCTTTTCAGATAAATGGGGTTTTATTTTGCTAAGTCTCTCACAGCAGGTAAAAAAAGTCCTGTCGGGCCACTGGGAGACTCCACAGACTGAAAGGGACACAAAGCAGGGCTGGTTTGGTCTCAACCATCAGTCAGCAGCAGAGATGGAAACACAAAACTATCAACCTCATGCCATGTCAGCTCTGGACTCAGCAATACATGGAGGCAACGTTTGTACCAACCTCGCCCTAGACCCAATGACATGGGTACAGCTCCACAAAAACAATGCTGCTCTTGATCCCTCTGCCAGTCTCCCTCAAAGCTTCTCCCGCAACCTCTCTCCTGCAAATCCAAGCACGGACTCCTCTTAAGCAGAGACAACAACCACCGTCTTTTAGGAGAAATCTGCTTTCAAGCTCCCACTGACACAAGCACAACGAATACCCACTAACTGCACCTAGTTTGAGAGGGACTCCAGATAACAGCCAGCCATAGCTACCCAAAACAATATGACAACTTAGATTCAGCTGAAAAATTGGCTTCTGTACATGCTCCTGCAAACTAAATAAAGAGTCATTAACATCCCAGTAACAAAAACACTCAACATTGTAACAGCTGAAGTTCAGGTGGGCCCCAATGGCCATTAGCATAGTTACTATATGGGTAAATTGAAATCAAGGTTGAACCTTTAATTACCAAAACCATCTTTCATAGTCTTTCGAATTTTAGATATTTCCCACCTTCCATCTCCATAGAAAAATCCTCAAATAGCCACTGTGAATCCACAGGCTTTACTGAAAAATCAACTAATCCTTTGGTCTTAACAGCAGGGCTGGCTATATTCTGAGTTTGGACATGACTGGGAGACAGAGGGTTAATTAACAATGTCACACTAAAACAACCCTGTCCAGATGGGTACAAAAAATTTTCTGCCTGACAAAGGGCAATTAAGTGTTTTGTTGCCAGAACAGTAACAAAGAGAGGCACAGAAAGAGAGCTTGCAAGAAATGGTATCAGCTGTTTATTTACAATAAATAAATGAAGTCATGGGCACTAGCTGAACAAATGGGGGAAAGAACATGTAAAAAAATGTGCCCTTCTGGCACAAAATATCATATCACCAGCAGAGCGAATACACTACTTTTATAAAAGGGGAAAAACAGGACCGTTGGGCTCCTATGAATAAGTCCTTCATGCAAGAAAAATAAGTTTCCACATAAAGGTTTTAATTAGCTCTGATCTCCTGCCACCAGTTGAGGAACAGGGCATAGGCAGTGGGAAAGCTGATAATGGTTTCCTCAGTTCCTGCAGCTCTTCGGTCTGGTCATGCTCCTCAGAGAGCACTCAGCCAGTACAAAGCAGATGCAGATACATGAGATATGGTGTGGACACATCTCTCCCAGGGGCATTTCTATGGGAGGGTCTTTCATCCGTTCACTTGCATTTCTTCCTTTCCTTGCTTTGGTATCCCCAAGGTGAAAGATTCAAATTCTCCATTAAGGGCAACGAGCAGATGCCCTTATGGAGCTGTCAACCTGTTCTTTTATCTGGGTTGAATTTTCCTCATAAAGGCTACGAGAGAGGTTTCTCTTCATCCCTTGTGCTTGTACATTTCCTTTCTCTAGCTCCTCTGCTCCTTTCAGCCATAGCTTCCCAAAACCACAGCCTGGACCTGTGAGAAGCAGGGTCAGGGATTTCTCCCAAGTCCTTAGGAGGGAACTAGTCCAGTGCCACATCCTCTCAGGGATGCTCTCGTAGAGCTACAGGTGAGTGGGTCTGGAGAGGGCAGGATGTTGCCTGTGCAGACTGCCTCAGCAGGACTCAGTGCTGGACAAGGAGCACTACTGTTGCCAGTGGTGGTTACCAAATCCAGGGAAAAGAGGGAGCAGAGAGGAAAAAGTGCCTTCGCAAAGAGCTGTCCTCTTAAACACAGACTCCAAAGGAGTAAAACCAGATGTGACCAAGTTGCCTTGTCGCATGTCCTTGGCCATTAAGGTCACCACCTGCAACAGAAGTGCAGTAGCACCTGGCTAATCCTGCACAAGAGCTTCACAAGTGCATTTTGAGGGGAATTGTATGGATGGTGTCAGAGAAAGAGGCGCATGTCAGGAACAAGCTTGGATGAGTTCATCTGATAAAAATACACTCTGCCTCATAACGATGTCCTTAGCTGAAGAGGCAGGAATGTTGCAACACTGTTCCCCAGCAGTGACGAAAAGATCAGCTTACAGAGCCCACAGAAATAAACCTCGAGCTGTCTGTGTGTTTACAAAAAAACAACGCAAAGGTTAGGACAAGGAAGCCAGGAGGATCTGGTGGCCTGCGTCTGCAGTGAAATATTTGCAGCACCTCCTGGCACTGAGATCAACCCAGGAAAAGCGCAAATATTCCCCCGTGGAATGCCAAATTCAACCAAAAAAGAGGAAGCTCCAAGGAACACCTCACCATTCTGTCACTTCCATTTCCAGACAGATTCCTCCTTCACAAGAAAGGTGGAGGGATCTGCGCAATCCCACAGCAACTAAGAAGAGTCTTCTTCATCCTTCTATCAGGTGGGATCCCAAAGGACCTGTAACTACATCTCCCTTGAAGACAAATCCTAGAGCTCCCTATGTGTAGGACATGTCCTGTGTCTCCTGACCATATGAGGACATTGCTATGTGGCTCACAGGGCAAGAAAATTCAACAGCTTCAGCCTGGTACTCCGTGGTCCCTACCATGGCCACCAGCTGTTGAGGCCAACTCACACTGTGCCTCTCCCCTGTAGTGGAGGGGAAGCTCTGAATTTGTCCTGCCCATCCTGAAAGCTCTGCTAAAATAAACCAGAACACCTCCTGCACACCTGGAAACCCCTTGCACAGCACCACCAGCAAGAAAAGCCAATGCAAGACACATGCTCTACCCTACATGTGGTACTTCCCACGCTGGCCCAGTCCCATGCACACTCCTGACCACATGCATTACCAGCCTTTAAACCCTCCCTGCGAAACCAGGTAGAGCTTATATCCCACTCTGTCACCTGTGGAGCCTCCAGACAGAAGGTGCAGTGGGGCAATTGCCTAATCCTCCCGCCTTGCAACAACTGCAACTTTGCACATTCTGCACCAGGGAGGAAAAGCTGTGCCATGACACAGCTGCTGGGCCTGGCCCACACTACAGCTCAGGTCTTTGGCTGGGCCTTTCTGAGGAGCAGGGCTAACCAGAGGCTGGTGTGCCAAAGGTATAAGCTGGCACGACACGGATCAGTGCATCGACCGGGACAGCGGGGCATTGAATGCCGCGGGTCACTGGACACTTACACACAAACGCCTCTCTGCAGCCTGCCCAAAACAGCTCTTGCCCTGTGCCAAGGAAGGGCATAAGCAAGCAGAGTTCAGCCTCCTCCAAGGAGGTGCTCTGGTTCTCCAGCTGTCCTAGGAGTGAGCAAAAGGGCTTGCTGTGTGCACACTTCTACCCTGGTGCATTTAAAGCATGCAACCCATCATAGCAGGGCTACCCAGAAAGCTGGAGAACCTTTAACACCCCAGAGCTCAAGCACTTTGTGCTAGGCAACACTTTGTTTTGGTTTTGAAATTACTATCTCCAGTGAGGTCAGATCTTAAGTGTTTTCAGTGAAAAAATAAATACACAAGCACAAGAATGTAGGGGAAGGAGGGGGAAAGCAGAGCCCAGCAGTGTTTTAGTGCTTAAATTCATTTGAGATTACATAAAACTGTGAGCAAACAGAGAGTCCAGATGCATTTGACTTAAGTCATGTGAGATCACAGCTCTCACTGAACTTCTGGAAAGGTAAACATGGTTTATTGATGAAAGGGGACTGAGTAATTCAATGCTCAATTGGCTCTGGCCTTTGATGTGGGAGCAGCGTGCAGGGGATGTGCAGCAATCTGAGGCTTGTGCTAGATGAGCACAGGAGGCAGCTCCCTAAGCACAGCCTCTCCTCTTGGCTATAAACCTCTTCCCTTGGAGCAGAGCCCTTCCAAAATTTGGGGGTTTGTGGGTTTGTGGTCACATCCTGGGCTGTGAAATTCAACAAGACAAACAGCAACAGAGTTTGAAAAGCCTTTCCAGAAGCTGTTCCTCGTAACATGTTCCTCATAATGAAAGTAATTCCTTTCTCATTCCTGTTGGGGTCATCTTTAAAAAGTTGGGGTGGTTGGAAGTTCAGGGTGCTCCTGGTTGCAGGACCTGCACTTCTCTTGGCCCACCAGTATCCTACTTTTGATCCACATCACTCACTGTAACACTGGGAGAAGGGTGGCACCCATTGTAAGTTCAATCATCCTTCACCGCTTAATATTTTTCCTAAACGTTCCCCTTGGTTTTGCAGCCTGGGGAACACCAGCTCTCTAATAACATGGAGCTGGAGAAGGTCATCCACAGACAACACCTCAGGCTCTGTATCCTGAGCCACAAAGTCACTGAGAGCATTGGTACAAATTTCAGCATCCATCAGACAAACCCTCACGTGCCACATGCAGTTGTCACAAAAAGCAGAGTTTTGGTTACATCCCAGCACAAGGAAAGCCAACATGATCTGCTGCCTGTGTGCTTGTACTCTGGCACTCAAACCAAAAGGAGCAAGTGCCTCTCCTGCAGGTGAGGAGGAACCAGCCTGCAGCTTCTGGGACCAACCTGCTGAACATCACGGCTTTGATGTCAGGGCATCCTGAGCAGCAAGGCACTGAGCTGGCTCATGAGAAGTGCCACCAGGACAAAAGGAAAGAAAATCACCCCCAGTTTGTAGAGCCACCATAAACTGATCTCCTCAGTCCTTCCAAGAGGCAAACTTCAGACTGGCCCAGTCAGGGATCAGCAGGTTCAGCTCCATTCTGACCTTTTCCCTCAAACCAACCCAGCCATCTCTAACTGCTACATCTCACATACTTGCATTTTACAAAATGCTCTCCTGTTACTTTTTACCTGATCTGTTGCCCATAATCACAACCATTTCCTTGTTAGACATTGTTCACTGTACCTCTGCAGCATATTCTTTGAAAGAAATTCAGTTTAATTTAATACAAGGTAGTTAAGACTATGTTTTCTCCCATCGTCATTTGTGGTGCTGTATATTAATTAGACTTGCCTGCTGGCAAGTAATACAGCTAATTGGAAAGAGGGAGGAAGGCTCCCATCAAAGTTTCCTTAAAATAAAAAGTTGATATTTTTAACAAAGATTCAATTTTTCAGCTAGTATTAAAAATAAAATAAAATAAAATTAAATGAAATAAATAAATAAAGAGATGCCCTCTTGCTCAACCAAACCTGCAGTCTTTCATTCAAGCAATGCTTAACTCCACCTCAGCCTTCTGGTCATGTTGTTACATCTGACAGCTTTTTGCAACTTTGAGTGGCACCCACGCATTCTTCTGAATCCAGGCAGAGAATAAAACCCCGAGTATGCCAGAGTGTCACTGCCAGCATTTCCAGAAGGAGTGGGATGGAGTGCATTTTCTATGAAAGTGCACAGAATACTGCTTTTAACCACACTTGCTTATCACAGCCCTTCACTGACCATGTTTAGTCCCACACAGTTGGAGCCACACACGGCCATGCACAGCAATTCTGCCCTAAACCACTCAGTTCACTCACAGCCTCAGCTGGTACCAGCCACAGGTCTGCTGTGGCTGGTGTGCTGCAACCAGGCTGATGCAAACACAAGGTGTTATCTGTGGTAACAAGCTTAATTTGACCCTCTAGAATGAAGTACAAATTACAATGCTACTCCTTCTATTTTTTTAAGACACTTAAACAGCTGCTGCCAGCAGGTGATGCTCTGCTATTTAATTTATCAAACCCCTTGGATCACCTAACAGAAAGAAAAAGGTTTTCATTCTCAAACCAACCAAACAAGTTTTGGGAACAGAAACAGTTTGTAAATCAGAGTACAAACCTACTTGCTCAGCAAGTTAGGTCAAGTGAGCAGAAAGGGGAAGGGGGATTGGACAGAGCTGCACCCCAATACTGACCTCCATCCACAGCCCGGCCACGTGCACGCAAAGGGCTTTTCTCCTGTATGTCTCCTCAGGTGGGCTTTCAAATGGCTGCTTTTCGTGTACATCTTGGTACAACCAGGAAAAGAACATTTGTGCATTTTAATGAGTTCAGCTGCAGGGTTCTTTTGAAATTTCTGACCCATGATGATTCCCGTCTGACCCTGGATCATGCCTCCTGGCCCAATTGGCTTGGCAGCAATGGGGACGGGAGCAATGCGGACAAATTTAGAGGACAAGTTCAAATTGGACGACTGAACTATCTGAGGCACAAGGGCAAATGTCTGTCCTTGGATGTTGACTAGGAGCTGTGCAATTTTAATATTTTCCTGTGCTGGTCCTTGGGAACTGGGGCTCGTGTTGGACTCCTGTTTGATCTGTACAGGCTGAATTTGGAGCATAACCGGTATCCCATTCTCGAGGGTCATTCCTCCATTTGAAGCTTGGCCACCTTCTGTTACGCTGTTCAACTGTTCATTTTTACTCTCTTTTAAACTAGTGCTGGGTAACATATGGTCTTTTTGCTGTAGTGAAGCAACAGAAACTTGGCTGCAGGCTCTCAAGTCCTTGGTCTCACTTTTAGGTCTTTCTTTGAGCTCCAAGTCCATGTTCTCCTCCAAAAATTCCTCAATTTCCTCAAGTGTGGGCTGAAATGGTCCTGAGTCTTCCATATCCACAGCAAATTCAGGCAACCTAAAGTACTCCTCTTTCACTATTGGCTGAAGTCTCCTTTTGTCCCACCATGATGTATTGGTGTTCCCCAAAGATGCCTGGGACAATAAGTAGTCTAAGATACTGTCCTGACTTTCTGCACTGGATGTGCTTCCATAGCTGGAGCTGAGGACCTGGGAATCAGGGCTGGAACAAGAACAAAAGCTGGACGAGTCACTGTCATCTTCTGACAGGGGAGAGGGCAGCATTTGGTAGGACCTCACCCCTGCCGTCATGTCCCCAAAGTATCCAAGAGAAGATCTTGTAGATGAAAAGGATTCATCAGTAGGCAGCAAGTGATCCACCATTCCTGGGCGATCTCTTAAGGGTATCCCAACAGCATATACCAGGCAGCCAAAGTTCAGGTGAGAGCCTGAGTGTACAAAAACAAAACAGCAACAGTCAGAAGCTGGTTTAATTATTTATGTCCATGAACTAAAGCTTGGAAAGCCCTCTAGCCCGCAGGAAAGTCCAGAGCATGCAGCCTCGCTGAGTACACATGCTGCTACATGCTTTGATATGTCTGTACCACCCCAAGGACTGTCAGGGCCAAAGCGTTTTGCAGAATTGCACCACATATTTGCAAAAGAATTCTTTCAGAAATCATTTCCCAACTGTGTGTGCTCTAGATTTACATCTCCATTCCAGAATAACACTGGCAAAAGAAAATAAATTATGAGCTTTTGCCTAACAGTGAAATCTAGAGCCAAAGAAGGGAATAGGGAGAAAAAAAATAAAGTGCTGAAATTTTTACCACCTAAAAAAAAACCAAATAAAAAAGAAGTTTATTGCTGGTGACCATAAAATGCAAATCCTTTTCTTATCTTGTAGCTTTCCACCACCTTATTTTTAACTTCCTCAGTTCTACAAATATAGGCTGTTCAGCATAATGCAAGGATCAATCTGGCAGGAGCCAAAAATATTTACTGTGCTTCAGCATTTACTAGGCGGATTTTCCCCTCCAGATGTAATGAATCAGTGCGCCAACGTCATCATCACCTGCACTGTCCTTAATAAGGCTGGCACTGCGCTGAGCTAATTACCATGTCCTGCGAGGCAGCTGGTGGCTGGTTTCACCTCGCTGCTCCATGCTCCTTTCTCTCTGGGTACGGAGGTTAATGCGAGCTCGTTCCAGTTGCTAAACTGGGAGGGCGGTACGGACTGTACGGACCCTCGGCATCTCAGCCTGCTGTGAGCCACGGTGGGCAGCTGCGATGCCCGTTTCCCCCTCCTCCGTGTCGAGGCGGCGAGCGGAGCATCCCGCAATCCCGACTCACGTGAGCCGTAATCCCGCTACAACCCCACGGAGCCACAACAGCAAACTCCCCCTCCCCAGCGCAGCCCCCCACAATGCTTGCTTACGGCGGCGGTCGTCCTGCGCTTTCCCGCTTAAGGCAAGCAAACTTCCTAGAAATGTTTCTGGGGAGGGAGAGGCAGGAGGGACATCTGCGTATTTTTTTCTTTCCCCCCCACCTCCTCCCCGAGGGAAAAAAAAAAAGAACTGCTTACGGATGGAGACTATGCCTCCTAGAAAGCAAACGCAGAGACCTCCCGATGGAGCGAACACTGGCCCTCAGTCATTCGCTCAAGGTGACTGATTGAAAACAGAGCTGTACATGTGCATAATAAAACAACTCTTTCTGTGGAAGGTATGTGGACTGCAGAGATAGAAGTCATTTGATCAGCCTATGAGGTTTTGCGTGTGTGTGAATTAGGAGGCATGTGACCCAGTGCGAAGGAAATGCCAGTCAATCTTGTTACACGCTGTCATTTTCCACAGGCTCTGCTGCTGCGCTTTGGACGCTTTGCCATGAATAGTCAATAGCTCCCAGTTTTGTGCAGGGAAGGGGATGGTTGTTACTGCTGTTGCAGAGCATCCTTGCTGCCTCATCTCCAAAACTTGCCCTATCTTTCCTTCTCTGGAGAGAAAAAAAATCAAAAGGTGTCTGTGTGCTCAGGGCTGCAGCAAACACAAGGTGAGGTATTTTACACAACACCCCTAAAGAGCTCTGTCCCATTGGCAGCATCTATTAATGTTTCACAGGAACCGGGGGAGGGGGTGGAAAGCACCCATATTTCTTAAAGATACGGCTTCCTCATTCAAACACACATGGAGGAAACAGTGAAGGGTTGAAAGAAAGGCTTAAAAGTAAGATTGCACATTTTCCTGGTATGCGCGTCCTGTCACTCAGCTATGCTTGGAACAGATAATGAAATACCCACATGTGCCTGACACGAGGAAGTTCAAACAGGGGTTAGTGGCTCTGTTTTGTGACCTTAGCCTATAATCATTGCTTATAGTAAAAGTGAAGAGTCAGAAGAGCTGAATTATTTCTAACACACTTTTTTTTTTTTTTAACTCCCTGCATTGATGGAAAGTTTCCCCAGCAGAAGTCCCAGAGCTGAGCTATTCCAGTTTTGAAACAGAAAACACAATATGCTTCTGACAAGTTTGTATTGGCATCCAGTAAGAATTCACCCAAGCAGATTGTTTCTATCTTGCACCAAAAACTGGTGACTGTCTTGTGAAATTTGGGGCAGAAAGAAGGACTTGCCCTCAGATAGTTTCTGATTCTTCCTTCTATGTCTGCATTGTTTCAGCCTAAACTTCTGAAGAATGGGGCTGTGAGAGAAAACTGGACTGCAATGTGTGTTTTTCTAAGAAAAGCTGGCGTGCTCTGCGTGCACCAAAAGCAGTTGGCAAAGTTCTTTTTGAAAAACAGATAATAAAATGCCTGTAAAACTAGAAAGCAGCATATCAAAATATCCATGTATTTCACTGGGAATAGAACTAAACTGTAACTTGAATAAGGGTTTAAACGAGGGGAAAATTAAAACCAACAAACCCCTAGCAACTGCTGCGGGCCAGTTATCGCAGCAGAAAACAGCCAGCACGCTTGTTTCTCGTCTCCTTTGACAAGGAACATTGTTACTCAGTGTAACCAGAGTCTTTTTAAGAGGGGACTGTCAGAGGCAAATAGATTCAGGCGCATTAAGGGCCAGTTCTGCTTTCTGTGCACTCTCAAAGCTTGCAGAACAGCCAAGAAGATTTTGGGGAATGCCTGGAATGCAGAATCAGGCCCTGGCTATATTTTTCCCCTAAAGGCCAGGCTAACAACCAAAAGGCTTTCATCCCTACTTTGCCTGAAGACTCAGCCAAACCCAGAAGATTAGAAAACAAAACCAAAAAAAGCCAGGGCTGTGAAAGCTATGAAAACTAATGATGCTGTTTCCATAAAGCACTTTCATCTCTAGGAGCCCTGAAAACATGTTAGAAATGTAAGCACCTATAGTGAAACCGCAGTGCCTGAGCCACTGAAAACAGCCACTTCTAGAGTGAAATACAGCAGCTGTTCAGCAGCACAACCGTCTCCAATTTTTAAGAGTTCCCTGGGTTGTTATGATGTCCTTTCTGCCAGAAACATGTTGTTCTGTTTAAAACCTGTCCATCTAATCCCCGGATAAAAAAAATATTGACAAAACGAAACAAACCAGAAAAGGCATATTTTGATGCAGAGCAACAATAAAATGCTAAGTCCTGGGAACTTGCTGAAACATGGGGACATATATCCCAGTCTGTCATTTCTGGACAGTCAGCCCAGCACAACTCATCACACAGCATATATGAGATGCTGACAGTCATTTCCTATGTATACTGCCACAGCTTTTTCTGGTTTAGGACTAATCTCTTTAGTGTTTTCTCTTGTTCCCTAGAAGGTTTTAAATCTGTTCAGGCTGACTCCTGCTCCACAGAGCATGCCATAAACCAGGCAGTAAACTGGGCCCAGCATTTCTAAGAAATTAAAATAGAAATGCATGGGGGGGAAAAAAACTAATAAAAAGAAGCCACGAGCCAGGAGTAAACCCATTTGCTCTCCTCTCTTCTGCGAAGTGGCTGTGTTGCTCCATGGACACAGGGGGGTGTTTAGAGTCTCCCTGTTTGTTTTTTCCAAACCTACCACTTATGGAAAGCTGCAGAAACGTTCCCAAAGCTTTCTCTTCTGAAAACTGTCCCACTCCAGCCGCAAACTTTGGTTTCTGCAACAGGAAGCACTTCATCTGCAATCTCCTCCCCACGGAGTGCACCCCGCTGCCTGCTGCACCCCGGCAGGGAAGGGTGCCCCAAATAATGCGTGGCACCAGCTGCCTGGGCAGGGAAAGGGGGGCCGAGAGACACACACGTTCCCATCCCAGCACAAGCACAGCCAGGTTTCCACGCCTGCAAAGCATCTGCTTATTTG